GCTGGTTTTAGACCATCTCATCGAAAGCTCTGATATGTTCTCCCGATAATTTACACAATCGCAAAGATAGCTTATTGATTATTATATAAGATAGAAAAAAAATGTTTCACTATGAAATATTTGCAGATACTTTTTTTTTGTTATCCTAACACTAAAAAAAATTCTCAGAAAAAATTGGCACTTCAGTTTTTTGCTGTTATCGGCGACTGATATCCATATTTTTGTAAACATTTGAGTTATTCTCCATTATTTTTATTTTTTTTCATGCTAAGGATTATTTATTTAGTGAATCTTCTTCATTGAGAATTGAGATGTGCAGGTAAACTCATTCTATTCCAAGTAGAAACATGTTTTATTGAATTAGTACTGTACAAAGCATCATTAAATTGTGTGGTTTGAGTAATTAACCAATAATAATGTCGTATACGAACATTTTGAAGACCAACACAAGCTCTACAATTGTATGAATTTGAAATAGAGATCAGGCTCCCAAACAAGAAAAGTGTCAATATACTTTCAAGCAGCATTATAAAAAGTATATAGACATTTGTTTTCCTCATCATTATTAATTCTTATAATAGACTGAATATAAAAAAGAATGTCATGAATCATGAAAGAAGAGAGTGTGAATTATCGAACGGAACACATATGATTGGGTTAGGCTTTGACTGTTTGGTATAAAAGAACTCATTAAAAAAGTCTCAAATTAATGCATTTTTAATATAATTTTTTCTCATGATGCGCTACCGACTTTGAAAATATCTACAAACTTTGTAGCGAAAGCTTTAATATGGTGTGGAATAAAAAGGAGGTAAAGGTATTATTTGTATAGTCAAAATGCAATAAAAGTCATGTTTATTTTTTATTTTAATTATTGTTTATGTTGAAAGCAAGCGAGAAAGAAAGCGAGAGTCAGAGAAGCATAACAACAACAAACTTTTTCATACCGATATTGATGAATTCTAAATGTTTTTGTAAGTTCACCCGAAAATAAACTGATATGAGAGACTATGCAGATATACGAGATTGCGCTACCAAGCTTTTTTTAATGAAAATAGTTCAAGAGACAATTCCAACTCTAGTGCGTCTATGTTGCCACCACTTCAGAATAAATTTTCGAACTAAAATTACAAAGCAAGGTACAAAAATTTGAAGTGCACTCGTAAGACCACCGATTATTGCAATTAATGTCGTAACAATATATATTATATCGTTTTTCTTAATGATTGTATATTGACAGTAAATTGGACGACATTTATTATAGTAGTTGGCATAGAATATACTACTTGTCCACTGTTCAATCATCATTTTTTCCATTATATTCCCGACTGTGCTATTCACATTAAAATAAATCAACTTTGAAGGATCAAGCGCTGAAGTAGTGAAAATATCCGAGAAATTGATAGCCACACGAAGACCATCAACACATGTTTGATTATAGAAGCATAATAAATTTGATTGCAGCATTGCCTCAAATCCGTAACATCCAATTACTAAACCCGGTACTTTGTATACTCGAACCTTAGTATTATCAGGAGTATAAACATATGCTTGTTCTTTGCAAGTGGCTGAATCATGACATGAACATCTATCGTTATCATACGTTTTATAGCGAGGATTGATTGTTCCAATAGATTGATTAGTATTCGTATTATTTATAGCTGTCAGACGAAAGGTGATACTTGACAGAGTTCCTGAAACAAGACCATTGCCTTGTGTTGTATCACGTATGATTCCGAATGAACGACTAAAAGTGTACGCTAGAGAGGTAGTATACAAATCAATACTGCATTCATTTGTGCAGCGAATGTTTTCTCAGATAGCAAATTTTTTGAAATGAATGTAGTCGATTTGAAATCAATAAGAGCATTGCCAATGCTGACTTTAGCCAGAGCACAAATAGAAACAAGCGCTTGGAATAAAGAGTAACCACGCATTCGAAAATCTCGATTGTAAATATAATCAAATAATTGCATCGTATTTTGGATACCCATTGGCCAACGTGGATCAACAAAATCGCTATCACAAATCTGATGAAATGTTGGAATCAATGAAATGAATTCTTGTTGTT